GAGAGAGAGAGAGAGACAGAGACAGAGACAGAGACAGAGACAGAGACAGAGACAGAGACAGAGACAGAGACAGAGAAAGAGACAGAGAGACAAAAGGAAATGCAAAGACAGAGAGGGAGAAAAAGAAAAAGAAATAAAGATAGAAGGATAGACAGAAAGACAGACTGCATGCATAAAAGATAAATGAGTTGCAGTGTATAGACAGCAACACAAAAGCAAATGCAGATAAAACCTCAACGTAAATAAAAACAAAACAAAAATAAACAACAAAACAGACAAATAATATAAACAAATAAAATACAAACAAATTCAAAGGCCACCGTCTACAGATAAACCCCACAAGAACACAGCCCTGCATGCAGACAACAATACGCATGCATTTAATACATACACATAAATAAATGCTCATCTGCACATATCGCTAAGGCAGTTTGCGAGTGCCAAACAAAAGGCTAGGGTTTAGGGTTTTAAGCCTAAACCCTAAACCCTAAACCCTAAACACTAAGAAAGATGTACATCGAATTGAGGCTGACCTTTGGTCTCTGTTGCTAATTTTTTCCTCGAGTTTACTGCATCTCTTTTAGCTTTTTCTATTTCTTCAGAAAGTGCAGCAAATGAACGAATCTGCTGCCAGCAGATAATCCTAAAGAGAGCAGCAGCAAAAATCACCCTCAGCCACAGCAACCCATCTGTCTTCGGGTGTATAGGCAGGTATTTGAACAGAAACATCCAAAGACCGGCAATAAAAAAAGAAAAAGTCGCCAACATATTTTTAATTAGAATTTTGTCTAATTGAACTTCCTTCAAGAAGAAAGCATGCATGCACGCATGCATCCACTCGTATATATATATATATATATATATTTATATATACACCACTATATATCTAATGCATAATGTAAATATGTAAGAATACATGCGTTTATTCCTGTGATAGTGCAAATTAATTTCAAATAGTCTTTTTCATGATGGTGGTGAAGGCAATTCAAAGAAAAAAACGAGTCGAGGCCTCCCTCTTCTCTATTGCAATTTGCACAGAAAACTTGCACACGCAAACCGAGCTGCCTATACACCCGAAACATTGTTCATGTGTATGGGCGGCTCTCCGCTGTATACGCAGCTCGCCAAGCTGGCTGTACACCGGGGAGCAGCCCATATATATATACATATACATATATATATATATATATATATATGTTGGGGTGTATAGGGAGCTCGAGATACTCATATATAATATATATATATATATATTATGCATATATAATATATATACATATATATATATATATAGGCATCTTGGGGAGCTGCCTATACACATGAAGTAGTGTTGAGGTGTATAGGCAGCTTCTCGACCTGCCTATACACCCGAAATGATGTTGTGGTGTATAGGCAGCTCGAGAAGAAAGCAGAAATACTCACCATGAAGAAACTGCTTCTGCTGTGCTTGAAGTGCCGCCTAGGATGTCCATTATAGATTGAAGTAAATATAGAAATGTTTTAATGAGTATTTCTCTCCTTATTATTTTATTTATTTGAATACAAGACGAAATAAAGCGAAGTCGCAACTGCGCATACACCTCAAAACGAAGACAACGCCAAGAGCGCCATTTGCTTGGTTTCCCCCGAATTTAAAGAAGAAAGTCGGTGTATATACATAAATAAATGGAAAATAAACATAAAAAGACATAAAGATGACACAGAAAAACAATATTTTACATTTGTTTCTCTTATTCTTCTAAAGCTAGCCTTCGTTGTTTCACTGCCGGGGGCCCCCAGTGTTTCTTCGGACTTATCTGGGGGCCCCCCCTCTGTTGTTTATCTTGTGGGTTTTTCCTGCATTTTTCTCTTTAATACCACTTAAATACATTTTTATAATTGATAAAAACAAGCAAAGCCAATATAAATTCGATTTTATTCTTCTTTTCCCTCTCTTTACTCTCCTCTTGCTGGTGCTGCTGCTGCTCTTTGGACCCTCTAGCGGCTAGCGGCTGACCTCATTAGTAGTTTGCTTTTCTCTGCAGAAAGCAGAGCATAAAAACAATATATCTGATGTATTTTAATTATATTTTTATTTATATTTGCCGCTTTTAAACTTCTTTGGGGCCTCGACTCCATAGACAACACACAAAGAGAGACAAAGGAGACTGCTGCTATAAGCGCTGCGGTCGTTGAAGTGTATCTAAACAGACAGCTTTTATGCGTATACACCGCAAGCAAATTAAGAAATCCTCAGCTGCTGCAGCAGCAGGGAGGGTCTCAGCGCAAGGCCCAACAGCAGCAAATCGGAGCTGCATCAGCAGCAGCAGCAGCAGCAGGAGGGGCAGCAGCAACAGCAGCAGCTGGGTATATCTCCCCCTCAGCATCAGGGACCATATAAAACTACCAGCAGCAGCAGCAGCATCATCATCAGCAGCAGCAGCATGATAAACAACAACATCGAGAAGGAGGTCTTTGCTGCGGTGTTGTAGTTTGTCTCCTCCACCGCTGAAATGTCTCTTTCTCCTGCTTCTTCTGTTGCTCCTTCTCTGCGCTCTACGCGAAGCTCAGTAGCGGCCTTTCTAGATTCAGAGATCCCCAACCCTAGCCCCCAGCAGCAGCAGCAGCAGCAGCAGCAGCAGGGTGTCAGAGGTCGTTCTTCTCGTTTTTCTTCTTTGTCTGAATCTTATCGCTTTACCGACGCCTCTTCTTGTGCTTCAACTCTTCTATCTGCTTCTAATGTCCTTATAGTTCCTGGGTTTGGTGCTGCTAGCAGCAGGTGTGGGGCGGAGTTAAGAGAGACGCTGCTGCTGCTGGTGCAGCGTGGAGTGTATGCACAGGTAGCTGTAAGCCCCGCAGCAGGTCTATTCCCCGGGCATATATCTTTATATCTTCAAGATATACCTGATGCACTGATTATAACTGGGGACGAAGCAGCAGAGAGGCTGCTGCAGCAGGTAGATGTGTGTCTAGTAGTAGGAGCTAGCGATGTTGTAAGCCCTCTTGTGCTGCATGCAGAAAAGCCCCAAAAGGGATTAATAATTGAAGCCTGGAGAGCAGAGAAGGTTATTTGTCTCTTACGATTAACAGGTCCTTTATCCAACCCTAAGTACAACAACCCCACCTTTAAAAGCCCCAATGCATGCATCTTTAGAGGAGACGCAAAGAAATCTCTTCAGGCAATTATTGGTTGCATGCGACAGCAGCAGCAAACCAGCCCCAATGGAGGCCCTAATAGATGGCCTCCTTCACTTGGGGTGTACGCACACCGCAACGCAGAAGAAGAAGAACTCTCTTCGCCCTCGCGCTGGCCACCCCACACTCTTCATGTTGGATTCTTACGGGATCGTCTCCAGCTGGGATCGGGATCGGGGATCGTCGCCATCGATCCCCGTGGGGTGCGGCGTCTGAGGCAGCTGGGCATTCTCCCTATAGTGGAACGGGCGTCTGAAAAGGAGACACTTAGCAGCAAAGGAGACAAAAGGGACTACGAAGAAGACACAGAAAATAAACAAGAAAAACAACAACAAGAAGAGCCCTTCACCGATGAAGAATATCGATTAGCTGGCGCCCGTCTAGCAGATCTAAACGAAGTGCTAAACCTAAATGTCCTTGTACACCCCACAGTCCCCCCCTTAGAGTACTTCCTAGAACCCAGCAGCAGCAGCAGCAGCAGCAGCAGCAGCAGCAAGGGAGGAGGAGCAGCAGTGAGGCCAGGGGGGGTATTGATATGCTGCATCTCCCCGGGTGAGTGTGAGGGCCTTCTGGATGTGCTTGGGCGTGGGGGTTGGTCTCTACTGTCTCTTCTTGTCTCTTCTTCTTCTTTGCATTTGAGGGGTATAGCAGCATTAGCGGAGCTGGAGATGCTGCGGGGGCAGCAGGCGCTGTTGCGGTGTATGTACAGCCTACCACGGGTTATGAAGGGCCTCACAACTGCAGCAGGAAGAATAAACCCTGCTGTTGTTCTCGTATTAGGGGCGGGGCCTGGGGGGCTGCATGCAGCAGCAGCTGCATGCAAAGCAGGTGCTGAGGTGTATGTATTAGATCCTCGAGTGAGTGTAAAGACAACAGTAGAATCAATTGGGGCTGTCTTTCTTTCATTTCTTTGTTCATCTGCTTCATGGGAGGCTTTAAGTATATTAAACGGTACTTCTAATAATAAATTACAAGAGACTCTACGCATGCATGTATGTAGAAGCGACATTATTATATCAGCCCCAGATACAGAAGCATTCATAGGGGGCCCCCCTCCTCCTCTTATACCCCAGGCTTGGTCTTCTCAAATGAAGCAAGGAGCTGTCCTCATCGATTTAAGGGCGAGACACCCCAAAGCACTGCCAGGCTGGTACGGTTCCATTCAGCTCTCCCCTCGCGCACAAGGGGGCCCCCATGGGGGCCCCTCTGAAGGTGGCCTTAAGGGGGGCCCCCAAGGGGGGCCCCCCGAGGGAGGCCTTAAGGGGGGTCCCCAAGGGGGGCCCCCTGAGGAAGGCCTAAAGGGGGGCCCCCCTGAGGGAGGCCCAGAAGGGGGCCCCACTGAAGGAGGCCTAAAGGGAGGCCCCCAAGGGGGGCCCTCAGGGGGGGGGCCCCTAGGAGAGGATAAGGGGGTTGAGATTACTGTCTTAGATGGAAGTGCGCTGGAGCAGACGATCCCGAAGGAAATGATTAGAGTGCTGTCTTCGAGTGTATGCAGCTTGCTGCAGCAAATGAAGACAACAGCAAATCCCTTTATTTCATTGCCGCAGGAGACAGGAGACACCGTGCTGCAGCAGCTGCTGCTGCTAGACAGGGGGGCCCCCAACCTCCACCGCAGCTGCTCAGTGTTTAGGGGCAGGAAGACTTTCTCTCAGTTACAATTCGCCAGCAGCAGATTCAACTCTTTTGATGCTCTTCCTGCTGCTAATCCTGCTGCTGCTGCTGCTGCTGCTGCTGCTGCTGCTAACGGCAGCAGCAGCAGCAGCAACGAAAAGGGGACGCAAAAGGAATAAAAGGCGACATCAGCAGCAAACAACTTCAATCAAAACGAAGTCTAGTTCGTCAAACCCACGGGTATAAACATAGAAGGGGGCCCCCAAGGGGGTTGCTGCTATTTGCTGTGCAGCTGTGGAAGGGGGGCCCCTGTTCAGATATTTCTTTTGCCTCTTCAGCTGTATGCTGAGGGGCCCCCTAAACCCTCTTCTTGAAGGCGACTTCCTTCCGTTCATTGAGGAACAAAGAAAGACCCTCTATCCGCTCTTTTCTATGGGTGTTGGGGTGTACAGTCACCTCAACCTATATATATATATATATACATTATATATACATATATACATATATATTCACAAATATATACACACATAATATATATATATATATATATATATATCGTGCAGTCGAGACCTTGCTTGCTGCGCTTCTATGCATCTGTCTACCCTCCCTGCCCTGCAGCAGCAGCAGCATTAGCAGCAGCTGCAGCAGCAGCAGCAGCGGTGCTGTCTGTGGGGGAAGGGTCCGGCACCGTGTTGCTGCTGTTTTCCGTTTGTGTGTGCTGCTCTGGCAGCAACACCACTGCAGCAGCAGCATCAGCAGCAGCAGCAGTGGATCTCTTGCGTAGTTTGTGAAGCAGAACGCCTCTAGCAAGTTTGCTGCTGTACAGGGGAACGGAGGAGACACTTCGACGGGAGACGATCCCAGCCTCCGACACGATCCCAACATCTTTGTGGGGCCCCACAAAGGCTAAGCAGCAAACTTCATCTCTGCTCCCTTCTCCTTCTCCTTTACCTCCTCTCTTCGCGTCTCCCTCAGAGGGGGCCCTATGGGGGCCCCCCTCTTGGAGGCCCTCCCCTTGGGGGCCCCCCTCTTGGAGGCCCTCCTCATGGGGGCCCCCCCCTTGGGGGCCCCCTTGGGGGCCCTCCTCATGGGGGGCCCCCTGGGGGCCCTCCTCATGGGGTCCCCCTTGGGGGACCTCCTCATGGGGGCCTCCCTGGGGGCCCTCCTCATGGGGGCCCCCCTGGGGGCCCCTCTCCTGGGGCCCCTTCCCTTGGGGGCCCCCAAGGGCCCCCTCAAGAGGTATGTTTTGAGTATTTGGGGAGAAGAGTGGAGAAGGAGGGGAGATGCGGATGACTGCAGCGCCGAGGCCTCCTCTTCTTTGAATTCGGAGTTGGTTAAGGGAGAGGCGTTTGCCTGCATGCGCATGCAGCCCCAAAACAAAATATATATATATATATAATGCAGCATTCAATTGCAAGTGGTGAGCGGCAGAGATATTATTTTTATTTCTATGGGTATTAATGCAATAGGCCCTCTGGGATAGCAAACGGAGACATATATATATATATATCTATATATCTATATATATATATATATAGAAAGATAAATACCTATATAGATATATAAACATATAAATATATATATATATATATAGGGAGAGAGATAGATAGGGAGAGAGAGAGAAGTAGAGAGTAAGAAATAGAGGTAGAGGGCGAGAAACAAGCAGAGACAGAGACAAAGACAGAGACAAAGACAAATAGTTGTTTGGCGTGTCTGTACACACCGTAGGCCCTCTTAGTAAGCAAAAGGAGACAGTCTCCTTCAGGGTCTGCGCTAGGGGGCACGAAGGAGACAGCCGCAACCTTGTCTCCTTTCCTTCATACAAACAAACATAAACAAACAAATGAACAAAGACATTAAACACCAAACAAACAAACAAATACATAGAGACAATAAACAGGAGATAGAGAAGGAGACAGCAAAGGAGACAGATATATTTAAGCAGACAGAGATATTAAAGCAGACAGAGAAGCAGACAGAGAATCAGATAGGAGACAGAAGTGGAGACAGCAGAAGATATACAAAGGAGACAGGGGCCGGGAAGGAGACAGAGAAGGAGACAGAGAAGGAGGCAGTAAGGGTGACAGTAAATGAGATATTAAAGGAGACAGAAAGGAGACAGTAAACGAGACATTAAAGGAGACAGAAGGGGGGAGAAGAAGAGACAGGCAGAGGGACAGCGAACAGCAGAGACAGCCAAGGAGGCAGACGAGGAGACGGCAAAGGAGACAGCAAAGGAGACAGCAAAGAAGCAGCAGCTGCCTCCTTTAAGGCGAGCAGCAGCTGCAGCCGTCGAGAGCAGCAGCACAAGAAAGGGAGACAGAAATAGAGACAGAGAAAAAGAGAACGAGCACCAAAAAACAACAAAGACAAAGACACAGACAAACACAAAGACAGAGAAAGAGACAGAAACATAAACGGAGGCAAAAGGAGACAGGTACAGAGACAGAGGCAGAGACAGAGGCAGAGACAGAGACAGAGAGACAGAGACAGAGACAGAGGCAGAGACAGAGATGGAGACAGAGATGGAGACAGCGTTGAAGCAGCAGAGGAAACAGAGACAGACAAGGAGACAGCGATGGAGATAGAAAAGGCTGAGGTGTACATACAGCTGAGATCTGCTAGCTGACCTTAGAGATATCCCCTTGAAGCCTCTTGAAAGAAAGCCAGAGGTGGGGAGACACCCCAAGCGAAAACGAAGAGCGCGGCCCTGCGCTGTTGCTGCAGTGGAGACAGAGACGGAGAGAGACAGACAGAGAGAAAGAGAGATTGAGAGAGACAGAGACAGAGAGATTGAGAGAGACAGAGACAGAGACAGAGACAGACAGAGAGAGACAGACAGAGACAGAGACAGAGAGAGATAGACAGGAAGAGAGATTGAAAGAGAGACAGGGACAGACAGAGAGAAGGACAGAGAAAGCGACGGAGACAGAGACAGACAGAGACAGAAACAGAGACAGATACATTATCAGACACTGCATGCACGTACACCTGAGAGGAGACACTTCGTTCCTCTTTTAATAAAAACATCAAAAGCGTCAAGCCCCATTTAAGTGGGCCTCAGACAGGTGTCTCCCTATACACCTGAAAAGGGGTCTCCTCTTCTTACCCACGACAACAGAGCCTTCATCAGCTGTCTCTGCAGCTTCTTCTGTCTCCTTCTCTGTCTCTGTCTCTGTCTCTGTCTCTGTCTCTTCATCCGCTTGTCTATCTTTCTCTGTCTCTGTTTCTGTCTCTATCTCTGTCTCTGTTTCTGTTTCTGTCTCTGTCTCTGTCTCTGTCTCCCTTTCTGCAGTTTGTCTGCCTTTGCTGCTGCGGGGGTCGATGCAGCAGGCAGCAACGCGATCTGCTGGCAGCAGCTGCAGCAGTTGCTGCATGCGGAGTCTCCTTTGTCTCTTTTCACTCTGTTTAGACAGCAGCAGCAGCAAAGAGACAGCTTTTATGTGTCCCCTCTCCGTGCACAGCAGCAGCCGCCCTGCTGTCTCTTCTTTCTTAACAGGCAAGATGCAGCAGAGACTATCATCATGCTTTGCTGTCTCTCCTGCTGCAACAGCAGCAGCAGCAGCAGCAGCAGCTCGGCGGGGAGTCCTGTAAGCCCCAGCAGCAAGAGGAGATGCTGCTGCTTTTATTGAATGTCTCTGCAGCAAAGAAGCGCTAATCCCTAAGCAGCGGCCGTCTCTAAAAATAAACAGCAGCCAGTCGTGGCCTCTGCATGCAGCTGCTGCTCGTACCCTGCTGCTGCTGCTGCTGCTGCTGCTCTTGCTGCTGCTGCTGCTGCTGCTGAAGAGCCGCGTGCCTTTGCTCGTCTTCCCCTGCAAATAGACGGAGGCCTCCGCCACCTTTTTGTATAAACCCTCCTCCGTAGCTAACACCAAA